CAAAAACTTATAATTCCCTTATTACCCTGTGGACCCTGAAAACCACAGGTTTGTAGAGAAACACAGTCTTTCAGGGTCACATTTGATCCAGATCCATGTTACTTTTCGGGAGTGTATATCTTATCAAATGACAAAAACAATCCACATAGGGGTTATATAGCCCAGTACACTAGAAATCTTCAATAAGAAAACCCTCATGTCAGTCCCTTTTCGCTCTAACTTTAGCACCCTTGGATTAACGTCTACGCTTGTTTGCACTTTGCTCTGGTATGATGTTTGGAATCAAAAACTCTCTGGCAATGCTGTCTATGCTTTTAATTTAACATTATGTTTTTATTTAGCATTATTGTGTTGTGAATTCTTTTCTTGAAACTCCTTGTGTTTTTTATTGATTACATACCTATTCAACTCTTTTCAAAAAATCTAGTTGACATTTATATGTTTTTTGTTGATTACCTTGTAAGTTTGTTTGTTATTTTCATGTTTAGTCCCTTTACTAAAGTACATCAAACTATTGCAAAATCTATTCCACAAGGGGTTAGCCCATTACACTAGAGATCATAAATAGCATAACTTTACCCCCTACAATAATGCCCCGTTTGGCTTTAGTAAAAACATCACCTGCAACCACATCTACGCTTTTCATCTTGTTTTATCTGTACGTGTGATTTTACTGATTACCTATTAAACTACTTTTGTTTAATTTATTGATATCCTATTAATTCCTTTTGAACTCCATTGATTTCGCTTTTGGCTCTTTAGTTGATCTCTTTTTAACATCCTTCTTAAATCTTGTTAAAGTATTGCAAACATCTAAGCCCAGCACAGCAAAGCAGCTGACAAGCAGGAAAAGGTAGAAGAGCCGAAAAGCAGGAAAAGGTAGATCATGGAGGGGGAGTATATATATATATACATACAGTATAATATAGCAAAATGGAAAACACGAGAACTGTTCACATCACATCACTACAAGTAGAATCAAAGCAAACTACGAGTCAGTTGTAAAGCAAAGATGTTCCCCAAAGAATACTCGTGCAAATAAAATCTCCGAACTTTACGACGTTCCCAGTGTTCCAGTGTTCCCCCCTTAAATAATAGCAAAAACAATTGTTTTGACCCAAAGCATCCCAATGCAAGATAATGCAAGTGCGTTTTCTCCGAAACAATACACAATACACTCGTGGCGCGCAATTTGATCCTAAAAATTCAATACTTCTCTAATTTTAGTTTAGCACGGAGGACATTCGTAAACAGCACGTTCTGCAGTACAGTAATTTACCCTACTTTCCATGGATCCAAGCGTTTAAGACTTCGTTGTAATTTCATTTTACCTTCAACTATTCAATCATCATTATTTTTGATGTCCGTGGTTTCGTGTAACCCTATCGTGAACAAACTCTAAGTTCCAAGGTGTGGACACAGATCTAGACTGTCAGCGTGTTAATATATACTGTATAGAAACTTTTTCAAGCAGAACAATGAAAACGTCTTGGCAAAGAATACTGTACCTCGGAGGGAAAGCAAGAACATACAAGTGTAAACCACTGCCAATAATGAACCTCACTGTCCATCGAGCTCAAACTACATATTGATTAATACCTTGGAGCTTCAACTTCAACTATTCAACTCTTCTTTAATTACATGGCTTGTTGTGTCTTTGCCTGGAACAACAAAGATTTCGATGTTTGGACACAAATCAGAAGTATCAATTTCACCCATTTAAAAAAATAGGTGCATGAAACGGTTTGGCCCCTTAGGAAAGAACGCCAATAACATACAAGTACAAGCCACTCCCAATAATGAACAACTTCTCTGTCCACCAAATCTTGAAAATACCTTAAAGTCGTTCTATGTTCCTTTCAACTCCTTTCACTTTCCGTTGATTCTTTCCAATGTTAAGGGGGTTGTTACTGTGGTAGAATTTATTATTGTTGCAACAGAAACAATTGCACCAAATCTTTCCATTGCAAGGCCTCTTCAAACTTGTTCTGACACCGGAAGCCAAAACAGGTCGTTCAATTTGGAGATCCGAGATTCTCGTTGTCGTTATGAACTGCCGAAATAGTTCCACCTGCCACACGTTGGACAAAACGCCAACAATGAGACCTATGAGCAGCGCAGGAAACATCCCGAGCCATGAGTACAACACTTCTCGCCAAATAGAAGGCTTAGCCGTCCGAATGATCTTGTCGCTTTGAAAGGCCAAGTAGGCTTCATAGCCACACCACAACCTTGTATAGACACTCTTGTGCCGGTTAGGCACCACCAACATGTACTTGGAGCTCTGCAGGGCAAGTGCAAAAGGAGACACTGATGGGGACTGAATCAAAGCGCCAATATCTAAATTCTGCGGGTTTGCAAGCATACAGCACCAAGCATGGCATGCTCGCCACGGCCAGGATGTCATCACTTTATCGGTGAACTCGAACACATTTTCCTGCCAAGCATGAGTAATGAAAAGATCGCAGTCAAGTCCATCAGGATTCATCATCAATGCCCAGCTCATTTTGCCGGCAGCCGCTGTGACCGGCTTGATGTAATGTTCATTCACTGCATACATGCTTGGCCCATACTCTGCGAAGTTCTCCTGCTGGAAGGTCTGGCCATCTTGGATAGCCCTATGGACTTCAGCCCGGAAGAACTTGAGATCAGCGAAGGTGATGCACCACCTCGCTGGATTCACTGCTTCATGCAGTTCAATGGCAGCGTCAGTCACACGCCGGTCAACTGGTTCGGCTCTTGACAGCTGCTGTTGACCATCCATTGCATTTCAGTGGAGTCACGGATTATGTGCCAAACGAAGTCTGGTCTCTGCGAAAAGGCATCGGCAAATGGATCAGACTCCACCGGTTGTGCGGGTTTCAATCCCCAACATTTACGTAGTCATACGAGGATTGGATTGGTCACCCTGTTTGGGTTGAACGGAATGGCAAGGAGCCAGCGAACCACATGTCCGACGCCGTGTTAGCTCAGAAGGTTCGCATGGCTTTGCCCACTACTCTTTTGGGGCTATTCAATCTATGTTCTAAAATCTTGGGCCGACTGTTGTGATGCAATATACACCTGTATATACAAAGACCAAAAAACAGCACTTGCTTTCGATGAATGCCTGAATCGAGACAAAATGGAAAAGGCCCCATGGATCCAGGATAGAACTATGTAGAGATGGACTAAGTATAAGTATACTAAATGCTATGGAAAACAAGCAGGTTCCACACAGCATGTTCCGTTCTGATGGCTTTACTCCCGAACGAAGCAAGTCTGCCTCCATGATCAGCTGCAGCTCCCGGACATGTTCTTGTGCTTCGGCCACTTCATCCGGCAAGACCTCAAACGTGGCCCATCTAATCCATCGGTTGTCCAGTGATCAGTGGAGCTACTGTAGGACCTGGCAGATTCTATTGATTGCCTAGGTATGAAAAAGATTAGCCTTTTCTTGCCTAGCGAAGTAAGGCAGCCGACCATTAGCACCCATTGTATATAAGCCATGGTCTCCACACGTCTCCAGCACAATCTACCCAAGCAAAAGACTTCTCTTGCGCACCACTTTCTTGCGCGGCTCACTACAAAAGCTTCTCAAGTGCAGCTCTGCGCGGTCCCACAGCAGCCAGGTCGAAAGGCCGGCCGCACATGTGGTGATGTTCGATTGGCAACCCCGCAATCTCTTCATGACACTAAGACACAGGTGGGCAGTATGAAATGGTAAGGTTCCTTGATGCGCAGGAAGAACACGTTGCCTATGTCATACAAGTATATAAATCAAGGAAAAAAATAGTAAAAAGTAAACATATATGATAAACTCCCATCAAACCCCTCGAAACACACTTTACACAATCCACCGTGGCTGCCTTGAATGTCAGCTTGTTGCTTTACCATGTTGGATTTCTTAGCTTCCTTTTTTTTGGGGGTAGCAGTAGGAGGTAGGTGAGAGGGAGCTAGTACAGCAGGTAAGCTGGACTCTGGACATGCTACCAAGCTTGAAAGCTCCCTACCTACAGGGGCACAAATGGGCTAGGATCGATTTGGTTCTGAGATTTAAGTTTTCCCAGGAACCAAAGGAAGAAGCAGCCGGATGTGTGTCAATACTTTTTTCACACAACCAAGTCATGACCCGAGTTAGAGTAGTCTTGCAAGACTCATCAAACCAGGAGGGAGGGAGAACCCAAAACCCTCACTCAAGCCAAGCTGGTTACGTGTTCTTAGCAAGCCTGCCCGCTCAAGTTATATAGGGTAATTGATGGCACTTGCCACTCCATCTCATCTGAGCTCAGTTTCGTGGTTCCTAGCCGCTCCACCTCACCTCACTCCGCAATATTCCTGGAGAATCAATTCTTAGGACCTGGACCTGAGGAACCTGGACCTGAGAGTAACAAAGCATCAGCAGTTATAGTTATATCCGATGTGGAGTCGGCCAATCCCGAGACCCATCACAAGCACTGAATGTATTGGGAAGGCCAAGACCAAGTGCAGCAGCACATGCTTGGCACAGTGACAAGTGATGCTTCAAAAATGACTGTACAATGTACAAGAATCAACCTGGATCAGTTCCCATGTAATTCTCATCCTATTCACACCATATAGACAGGACCTGAAAGACTCAACAATAAGCGGAGGAGCCCACTCAAAATACCAACGAAACTCTCCAATTTGCTTCCTATCAGGAACCGGGTTTCCTGCCAAGTCCTTCAGGTTGAGCCACGAAATGAGAAAGCGATGTTTGCTTCACATTTCACGGAACAGGGCTGTACGCTATCCATGTAAGCGCCCTGAAGAGCCTCGAATTGAAACCTTCGAGCGCTATGCCACAAAACTGGGCAGAACATCCAGACCTGGCAAAGGGCATTGGCGACAGTTAGCAGTCAGCTCACAACAGACTCGCCATGCACCAGTTTGCTTCAGGTTTCAAACTGATCTGGTAAGCACGAATTAAAGTTCAAAAGTCGGGACGGACTTCATCTTTAAGCCATCCAAAGCTCAAGGCCTCTTTCAACATGTTTTGTCTAGTGGCAATTCACGCACTCGCAGTCGGTTGATGTCATCTTTTGGACGATCAGCAAACCACCAAATTCATGCGAGGTGAAGTCGGAAGATTTCTGCACATGAGTTCTCAGCTCATTGATTTGCTTCTCACCAGAGCCTCAGAAGTGGAAGGGCCAAACACGTGGCCCTTGATTGAAGCACTGGTTGCAGTGTCACAAACAGTGTTCTCATGTTGTTGGTCTGGAAATTCTTCAACTTCACGCGTCTTCAGGATTGCCAATTCAGGAGGTACACTTGTGTGGAACACGCAACTATAATTCTAGGATTCAAGGCCCATCCAGCCCATCCGTGTCATTTCAACCCTGGATTGCATGCCCTGCAACTGGTCTCGCAGCGATAAGGAAATCCGAATTTCAGAAAGCGCAGGGGCGGTTGACCCTGGTCCGGCGGGAAGCGACTCTGAAAGAAATCCCTGAAAACAATAACCACGAACGAACCTCATCAAAAATACAGCGCATGGCAAGGGATCAACAAAGACCTACACTCTCCATGAAGTAAGTTCAAGTAAAGTTCAGTAGAGCAATGGTGTGCATGATATTACATCTGTATACTGTAATGTAAATATGCACTTGTGTATGTATATACCTGAGAAGGGAGGGGACGAAAGCCAGCCTCCGTAAGAAGACATCAATGTGGTTATGAGGTGAATTCGGCAGCGCACTGGAACTGCTGTCAGGCATGGGGAAAAAGAAGGCAGAGGTGGAAAGTCTCGCATTGCGGGACGAAATGACAGGCTCTGTATACACAAGGTTTCGATCAAGGCCCATTAGCGGCTCCGTCGTCATTTTCATGGGCTGGGTTGCACTTTTAGGTTTTTTTAGATTTTTTTCAGAGCTCAACGTTGAGGCTTGAGAGTCTTTGACGAGTGTTATCCGCTGTTTTCTGCCTTCTCCTGCTTCTGCAACTCCCTATTGCAGTCGGCTCCGTGATTTTCGGTCGCAGTCGACTCCCTATCGCAGGTCGCAGTCTGTTTTCTGCCTCTGTTTTCGGTGGTCGCTCACCTGTTTCTGGCCACTTGTGCTTCGTGCCCGCGGCGGAAGCGCAAGTGAGGCTGAAGCCTGGTACTGGGAGAAATGAAATGACCGACCGGAGTTAACAGAGAAATGAAATGACGGACCGGGTTTCATAGAGAAGTGAATTGACGGTCTGGATTTAATGGAGAAATGAAATGGCCGACCGGGATTAGAAATGACGGCCTGGATTTAATAGAGAAGTGAAGTGACGGACCGAGCTTAATAGAGAAGTGACGTGACGGACCGGGTTTAATTAAACAATGAAATGACGGACCGGGTGAGCAGGACATTAAAAGGAGCACCCCAAGCTTGCTGACTGCATTCTGCTCCCTCTCCTGTCCTCAACGGGCGACTGGGCGACATCGTTTCTTGCGCTCCCTTCCACTCTTATTAGCCACAAGAAAACAGAGTGTTGAGAGACGCATCTCACTTTCCTGCTAGATTTCCGACCGCTTTTCCTGTCACGTTGTCCATTGTCCCCCCCTTTCCTGTCCTCCCACCCCTTATCGAAAGACTGTCCAAATAGCCTCCTGGGCCCCTTGTGATGCTGTGATGCTAGATGCACTTTTCGGCATCAATTACATCACTTACATCACAACACCACCCAAACCATACATTTTCACTGCTTTTCGGACCACCTCTTTTTCTTGCTCTGGGTTCGTCCTGCTCAAACTGGCCAGCTAGGTAACCGCCCCACACACACCCTATACTCACTTCGTTCGCCCATCGACAACTCCAGCCTAGCCTATCGACTGGCTTTCGTCACTTATCACATCGTTTGTATGATCCGATGTAGAAAGATGAAGGTTTCTGGCTGGATTCGATTTTGCCAGAACATGAAGTTGATTTTTGATAATTTTTGTCCTTCACTGCCCCGCCACCTGTTTTGCACACGGTTGTATGCCTCCCACTGTCATATCCCGTCCTTGAATGGAGTCATATCCACGGCAACTACTGCGCGAGGGCTCACCAGTGACATCTTCCAAAGCAACTCGAAGTAGTCACACATACCTTCCTCACGGGCAGCATGGTGACACCAATGTGGAAGCCATGGTGAATCACGCTGACTCTGCAAGGCTCCCAGAACAAAGGGACATTTCAAATTTGTAAAGAAACAGGTCACTGATTGTTTGTACTGGGCACAGGCAACATGTTTTCGTGGTTTTACTGCACAGGTTCCGTGTTGTGTTTGTGTATGTCTGCAGTATATATATATATACTATATACATACTGTGTTACATAATATATCTACGTTACGATCTCGCCCAGTCCAGTACCGAAAGGTTTTGACATGTTCGCTCCTTGTCGGCATCCACAATCACCAAATCAAACTCCTTACCCTCATGTGCCAACTGTTGCAACGAGTCCTCAGCGCTGAGTGTCCCCTCGCTATCCACCCATTAAAAAAACTCTAGGAAAACCATAGAAGACCTGGAGCTTGGAACAACAAGCAGCTGAAAGCAAACTAGTGTAAAGTAATGAAACCTAATTACATCAAAGCACTGGGCACCGGTGGAACCACACATTTTGAGGACACGTCTGGTCTCAGAGGTCAATATACACCCACAACTTTGTGTTCGTGCGTGGCACGGAATTGCAAATGGCAGCTGCAGCAAGGGCTTTGAAGAAGTAGCGCAACCGATGACTCGAGTCATGCAACTCCTGGAACTCACATGTCCTCACTGGCCCTGATAATTGGACACGCTCTCTAGGCAAACCCACACACACACTCAGGATGTGATGCGTACGAGCGGATTGCGGGTTGCCACACGCCGGCCTAGGTTTGAAAGCCTAAGAGTCCAGGCCACGGGCATAAAGTAAATGGACGGCGGTCTAATCACGATGATCCTGAAGTCAAGTTCTGAAGTCAAGCTCCAAAATCAGTCTCAAACACAATGCCTCCAAAACCTATGCGTGACTGCAAGTACAAACCGGTGCAAAGGCTGGCATCTTGTTTTAATTGTAATTGTAGTTTGAAACAGGGCCCGCGAGGAAATTCACGGTAAAACAGAAGGTGCCGGATCAGCTTCCCTTCCCATCCATGACCGTAGTTTCATCGCACTCTGTGGGCCATAGATGCCGTGTGCCCCTGCTTCAAAAGAACACAAGAAAAGAGCCAACAGCCCCCCGGTGACTCCAAGTTACACACACTCTCAAGCTGCCAGAGTCCTCTCCAACTTGCATGGGGGCGTAGAGCCCGTCTCCGCTCACATAGGAAGTGAAAAAGAAGTAGCAAAGGCATCAAAAACACGCAGTAGGGTTTGTAGTCTTTCCTGTCCTGAAGAGGGATTTGTGTTGTGTGGCGGGTGATCTCTGACCAAAGTGGCCTTAAGTAAGTGGACGCCAGATGATTTGGCAGTGAAACTAAATTGATTCACAATTCACGTAATTGGCTGACATGTAGCAGGCCGGCCCACATTGTGACCCATCCCCACCCCACGGCGACAAGTATAACAAATGTAACGCCCAACCTCCGGCCTGCAATCTCTTCACGACAGACTTGACAGGACCTGCGCTGGGACTCGCTCCAACTCCGACTAGTTTCCGATCCACCCTGCTCACCTCCTTGATCAGGACTTGTTCCAACCAAGCGCGATCAGCCAACAAGCTCGATGGCCCGACTGCCTTTGTGCTGCAGCATGAACATGTTCATTCATTGTGCGGCACATCTGGTGGAGATGCGTCACCCTACTGAGACTGCAGTCGATGAAAACACGGCTTGCAAACGACAGACCAAATCAAAAGTCTTCGAAGGCAAGCCAGGCAAACGTTGCACACACTTGCTGGCGTCAACCACATCAAACAGCGTTTAAGGGACTTCGGGACAACCCGCAACATCGATCCTTGGAAGTTGGGATCCAACAAAACCCTGTCAGCCCGTCAGCTCTGATTGAAGAATGTCACGCGCGCCGATAGCCCATGTACGGGCCAGGACTGGCCAGGACCCATGTTGATAAGCTTGAGCCCTCTGCACCGATCACCAACAAGCATCATTGCAGTGAGCAGCTATAGCCAGGACGGCGCTTCTCACTGTACTTTAAAAACTTGCTGCGGGCCACGACTATTGTATCTTTCTTGAGTGGATCGTTTCTGCAGATCTGCACCTGCTGTTAGCAGCTTAGGGGGCGCTTTGCCAAATTCTGGGACCCCATCCTTGCAGCCGATCATTAGCCTGACTGAACTAGCTCATGTTCAGCGCTGATTGGGAGAGCGCTAGAAAAGGTAGAGAACATCTTACGTTGGCCAGAGTTTAATTGATTGATAGGCCTTTCCCGAGCCTGCTGCGAGAACAGCAACGCAACAGCATGGCTCTTAGGCGGTTCGAGGTCACACTCTGACACTTGTATTCAGTTAACTCAGTTACCACGGTGGGAAGGATGGCGGTGGAACAGCAAGGTGAAATGTCCAGGCATTTGAAGGTGTTTGAACATAATTGTTTCAATCGCATGACTGCAGCGGCCAACTCAAAGTCAGCGGAAAGCGGCTGAAGGAAGCTGGTTTTGGGGACTAGCATGTGAAACCACCATGAATCAAATCGAAAGTGGAAAAGCTTGAGCAACAGTTTCTGGTGCAGGTACGTCAGCAAGCGTCCTTGCTGATATCAGCACATCCTGAAGAGCCTCTTTGTTAGATGCCCTCTCTTCAGGTGTGGGGCATCCCCCTGCTTGTGGAGAAATGGTGGTGGAAGACCCTTTGTCCAGGGTGGGACACACACACACATATATATATATATATATAAGAGAGAGAGAGAGCATCACACACACATAATATATATATATATAATTGTATATATTATTATTATATAAGAGAGAGAGAGAGCAACCAAAAGTTAACGCGCGCAGACTGATCATGTTGAGAACTATTCATTGGAAACACCTCTTACAAACGACCTTTTCCGCGTGTGCAAATGACCGATCCCGAAGAAGGGCGCCCGCACACAAGGAAATAGACCCAGGACCGAGGAAGAAGTACATCACAGGTGGTGGGTGACAATCTTTTCTCGAGGTCCGAGGTGATCATTACGCGGAATCTTGTGAGACATTGCAACTCCGGGACCTTCACCGGAGTCAGGGTAGAGGAACTCTCAGCTGTTGGCTGTTCCTGCCCCGCAGATCATATTTTCTCGAACTGAGACCATATAGTGGCTGAGCACCAGACTCAACATCTTCAACAATCCGAGCTCCAATCATTAAGGAGCACGAGCGCCACGGGTGCCTTATTGGCCTGAGACCTTTTGCCAAAATGGCATCGAGCGGCCTGCTGATGATCATCTCACTGGGTAGGAGAGAACAACGAGCCAAGCAAGTTACTACGAGCAAGGGAAGCTACTACCAACAGAAAGGCTCGGGTGGTAGGGCAAAAACATCAGACCAAGCATCTGCAGCTTGGCCCAAAATGGTCTTTGCACGCGTCAGTGCAGGGCCACCAAAGCGTCGCCCAAAATTCACCACAAAGGGGTCCAACTCCAAGGAAAAGAGCCTCATGGAACACAAGTGTTGGACATGCACCCAATAGTTCTAGTCTGAAAAGAACCCAATGAGATTACTTTTCAGCTAGAAAGATATCACCTTCTCCTGTTCTACACAGCTTGACTACCAAGTGCATGTCAGCAACTCTCCATCTTCTGGCATAGATTCTGCAAGAGCCAAGGTGCCTTTGCAGGGATCTGGCAGCACATTGTCTTGGTGTACAAGAATGCTTTATGATGCAGCTCAATGGAACCCATTGAGAAGCAGCCTTGTGCATGGTCTTTAGCGGGGAGGAAAACAACTTTCAGGATGGATGTAGGGGGAGCATTTGGCTCAAAGTTCCTACGCATCCTGGGATTCCCGTAACTGATCAGCTCTTTCGGCCAATCCGTAAGGATTTCGCAGGCCTACTCCGCAGAAGCTGCCAATCTCCAAGACTCGCTTGGCCTCCAAAGACACCGTCACAACGAAGTTGCTTCGACACTTGGCTTTCAACTTGCGAGACAAAAACGGCTGGTGATGAACAAACAACCAAGCAACGCAACAATCTGTAAACAGTAAGGGTAACATGAATGGGCTACTGTGTGGCTCCTTGGTGGTAGTTTATTGTAAACTAAACTGCAGAAACAAGAAACTACTAGGGGCTCCTGGCCGTACTACTAGTAACAAGAAGCTTTTGGAAACAAGAATCCAAATCCTGGCAATCTGAAATAATCTGAATGCCAGAGTTCAGTTCGGGCGGCATAGAACCTCATCCATGATATGGAGTTGTGGAAGTTGCAGTAGACATATCCGTTACATCCTTACAAAGCCTCTTTGAAATCTGGAAACATGACAACAGGGGGCACTCTTTTGGAACGTTTCGAGTGGCACTTCGGCGCCTGGGTGGACTTCACCAGCCACTTCAACAAAGCGCAGCGGTCCTCACTGGCAGACCACCTGAGCACGGCAGAGCAGACCTGGTGGGCCTTGTCTTAAACTTTAGCTAAGATATAGGTCTTTCAGAAGGTGGGTTGGAGGCCATCGCTAGTAGGTTGGTAGAGTCTCCAGGATCTAGAGGGTGGCATCCAGGGTCAGTGGGTGACAATTCTGATTTTCAAACGTGGAGCTCCACAAGTTTTGCCGCCATGGAGCTCCGCGCGCATCTGGATCTTTGTGAGGCCTTCCTCGAAGTTGCGAGGCCAGTCCTTGCAGAACAAGAATATCAAGTGAACCATGAGACATCATGAGACTTGTGGCCCAAAGGGGGGTGGCGAAAGCTAGGCAAAGAAACAACGCTGGGGCTCTTTTGGCAGCAAAAGCTTGGCCGGGAATCGCAACAATACGACCCCAACACAGCCAACACATGGCAACACACAACCACCCCAGCAACAGCAGCAGCAGCAGCAGCAACAGCCACAACAACAATAACTGTAACCAGCAGCGGCAGCGGCAGCAAGCAGAAGCTACCAAGCAGCAGCAGCAACCAAGCAGCAGCAACCAAGCAGCAGCAGCAACCAAGCAGCAGCAGCAACCAAGCAGCAGCAGCAACCAAGCAGCAGCAACCAAGCAGCAGCAACCAAGCAGCAGCAGCAGCAGCAGCAGCAGCTACCAAGCAGCAGCAGCTACCAAGCAGCAGCAGCTACCAAGCAGCACCAGCAGCAGCAGCAGCAGCAGCTACCAAGCAACAGCAGCAGCAGCAGCAGCAGCAGCTGCAGCAGCTACCAAGCAGCAGCAGCTACCAAGCAGCAGCAGCAGCAGCAGCAGCAGCAGCAGGAAGCAGCTACCAAGCAGCAGCAGCAACCAAGCAGCAGCAGCAACCAAGCAGCAGCAGCAACCAAGGAGCAGCAGCAGCAGCAGCAGGCAGCAGCTACCAAGCAGCAGCAGCAGCAGCAGGCAGCTACCAAGCAGCAGCAGCAGCAGCAGCAGCAGCTACCAAGCAGCAAAGAAACATAGAAACAGGAGCAGCAGCAGCGACAAAGAACAGCGACAGCACGTTGGGAACTGAGAAAGGGTCAGGGGTGAAGGGTGGAGTTGAACCCGCGGGGCGGGGAGGGGGGGTATAGTCCTGATATATCAGGTATCAGCACTCAAGTCCTGGGCTCCAGACAGACTCCAGCTAGCTACAGCTAGCTTTCGTGAAAAGAAAGATCATGAATCGTAGTCTGTTCCCTTTCCACCCTTGCCCAAAAGAGTGGTCTTTCAGGAGTCCAGTTTGCATGTCCCGGCTCGTGTTCCAAAGGGTACGTAATATCTCAGCCTCGTCCCGCACTGCTTGGCGCAACTCTTCCATTGCAGAGACCTCCTGGAAGCGTGGCCAGCAAACACACAGCTCCTTGTCCATGAACACCCTGCGTATTTATACTGAACAGGTGTTCTTGCAATCTTAATTCTGACCATTTCTGGCCTCAGCAACGACTGCTGATGGTTCCTTGCAGATTGAAGATCAGGGTTTCAATGGCTTCCAAGCGCAAAGTATTTTCATGTAGTGGCTCAAAACCCTCCGGAAATTCACGGCTGTATAAACGTGTCTAACAAACCTCTTGGGTCAAGAATCACCTCCAGTCTCCTTGTGTATATACATACTGTACATATAATATCATATAAGTATATATATATAATATATACACATTGTTTTTGCACTTACACAACCTGTGCTAAACCTTGTCTTTGAGAACATCCACCACATCTTGCACATGGGCCTTCGGCGCGGCCCAGGATGCTGGCACAGCCTTGGACAGCTTCAAATATGAGCATGTACCATGCAGATCCATGTACCAAGAAAACGTGTTTCAGTGCACAACTAGATCAACAGGCACCCCGTGCTTCAGTAAAGCCAATGTGCAAAGGGTTGAGCGGAAAAAACACTCGCAGTAAAACAACTGTGGCCACACATCAATTGCACCCATTCTGATCGATTGGTGAACCTGCCCTCAGCCCTCGTTCTCTCCGACTTGAATGTCAAGTGTTCCACTGCATTACAACGACACGCCATGAAGCGACGAGCCAACCTGCAACAGTCCAGACTGCCTTTTCACCAGGACCAATTGGCTGCAAAATACAAGTGGCTTATACTTCTTCATAATGTGCAACCTCTTGCCTGTGCTTGTACCCAGTTGTCATGGTTTGGTCGATGCCACTGTGCATTGTCTCTGTACAAGTACAATAGAAAAGAAATGTCTCGTTGAATCCAAGGCCAATTGTTTGATACGGTGGATGGCGGAAATGTTTCACCACGGATGTCATCAAAGCATCTCCTCTTACCTGGTAGCGTAAAGCAAGGTCAAGGGTGGTACAAAAATTCCGCAACTTTCATGTTACATGTTCGAGGCATCAGATCGGGCCAAACTTAAGATTTAGGGTCAAGGGGGGACCCATCCAAAAGTGGTGCGCGATGTCCTCCTGAAAAGCGCTAGTTGAATGCATCGAAGGCACCCCCACCAAGTGGCTGTTGGGGAAGGCCCGAACTGCATGAGCACCAGAGGCGAGGCTGAAAGCGTCACAGGCCTTGGCCGCGCGCCGGAGATTCGATAAGCCTTCCAGCACATCTTGCGCCCTGCCTAGCTGACGCCTAGGCGGGCGGCGCCTGGGACACCGCAGGGTGGAAGCTGCGGCCTGTGGACTTGTGCGACCTACGCAGCCAGGGTGGCCCCTTTGGTCTAGAGTTCCTACCTGCTCTGCCTCTGGCCCCTGAAGATATTTGTCTTGGGTTTCCATGTCGGCATCTGGCAACCTGTCCGAGCCCTTTTGGGCACAGAATCAGATGGGGGGACAGCTGTGGCGGTACCTCCGCTTGTTGGCTTCGCTTTGCCTCTGGTTTTTTTAAATTGATGGGGGGACAGCTGTGGCGGTACCTCCGCTTGTTGGCTTCGCTTTGCCTCTGGTCCCATTAGAGTTCCTATCTGCTCTGGCTCTGTCCCCTCAAGTTTTTTGATTGGGTTTCGAAGTTGGCGTCTGGCACCCTGTCCGAACCCTTTTGGGCGCAGAAATAGATGGGGGAAACCTGTGGCGGTACCTCCACTCGTTGGCTTGGCTTTGCCTCTGGTCTATCCTGTACGAGCGCTTTTTCTCTCTGTCTAGAGCTCCTGCCTGCTCTGCCTCTGGCCCCTCGAGCTTTTTTGTGTTGGGTTTCAAAGTTGGCATCTCGCACCCTGTCCGAGCGCTTTTGGTGTAGAATTAGATGGGGGATAGCTGTGGCAGCACCCCGCCAACCCCCTTAGAATTGGGTTTTGAAGTTGGCGTCTGGCACCCTGTCCGAGCTCTTTTGGGCGCAGAATTAGATGAGGGAAAGCTGTGGTGGCACCTCCGCCTGTTGGCTTCGCTTGGCCTCTGGTCTAGAGCTCCTTCCTACCTGCTCTGCCTCTGGATCCTCAAATTTTTCTTGATTGGGTTTCGAAGTCGGCGTCTGGCGTAGAATTAGATGGGGGAAAGCCGAGGCGGTACCTTCGCTTTTGGCTTCGCTTTGCCGTATACTTCCTCAAACACTTTTATTTGGGTTTCGAAGTTGGCGTCTGGCAATGTGTCCAAGCCCTTTTGGGCGCAGCGTTAGATGAGGAAAAGCTGTGGCGGTACCTCCACCTGTTGGCTTCGCTTTGCCTCTGCTCTAGCCCCTACCTGCTCTGCCTCTCGCCCCTCAAGCTTTTTTGATCGGGTTTCGGATTTGGCATCTGCACCCTGTCCGAGCTCTTTTGGGCGCAGAATTAGATGAGGGAAAGCTGTGGTGGCACCTCCGCTTGTTGGCTTCGCTTGGGCTCTGCCTCTGGATCCTCAAGATTTTTTTGATTGGGTTTCGAGGTTGGCGCGACTTCCCGTACAAGGACGCGGTTCGCTGACACTTGTAGGACACTCGTGTGAAACTCTTTGCTAGAACTCTCTTGTCGTCCACTCTTGCGCAAAACTCTCTTGTGGGACACTATTGTTGTTGGAAAGCGCTTGTGGCACACTCTTGTGGAAGGACGCTCTTGACACTCTTGTGGACACCTCTTGCGGGACACCCTTGTGGGCCACTCACGTCTGACACCCTGGCGAGACACCCACTTCCACGCCCGATGCAACTTTCCAGCAATCTGCTTCCTGGCGCTCTCCATGCATCCAACCCACATTTCTAGCATCACCAGAACTCATGTGGCTTCGTCAAAAAACGTCAAAAATAGAGGAAAATGACAAACAGGCTTATAGCTTCAAAACCTCAAGAAAATAACGTATTGAAAAGGACCAAATTTGAGGACAAATTTTGATCGAGCATCATTAGCGTCAGCAGAGGCTCAGCAGGAAAGATGCAATCCTTCGGGGCTCGGGAGGCTGCTTTGATTGCAAAATGTATGTAGTTTATGAACAGACGGCTTTGAAGCTATAAGCCCTACAAAGTCCTGACTGCGATATGACTTATTTGAAGAAGCCGTACAACCCAAGTGGTGCTAGACACGCAGGCCCCAAACGGACATTTTGCACAGACGTATGTATTTACCTGAAAAAAGGTCAAGATATAGATGAGCAGCATTTGTGCCGAGCACCATTGGCATCACCAGAGTAGGAGCAGCATTGTTTACAAAGTGGAGACCTTTGGGCAGAAAGCACCTTTCAATGTTTGAGATGGCTTCCTCTGGGAGAGAGAGTGTGCAAGACGGCTTCGAGAGTCTCTACACGTTGATGGCTTATGGCTTTGGGCGGATGAGACTAGTCAAGATCCGATAATGTTGATGGTGCTTGATGCTGCTGCGATGCTGATCGTGTTGGATCCTTGTTGGGTGAGTGAGAGTGAGAGTGAGTGAGGGTGTGAGAGTGGGAGAGTGAGAAGGTGTGTGTGTGAGGAGTGTGAGAGGGAGTGGAGAGTGAGTGAGTGTGAGAGTGTGAGTGAGAGTGAGAGTGAGTGGGAGTGGGTGAGTGTGAGTGTGAATGTGAGTGTGAGTGAGTGTGAGTGTGAGCGTGTGTGAGTGAGAGTGAGGAATAACTTTTGAGCAATTTCTAGCCTGAAGCTGTCTGTGCTCTCGCTGACGCAAAGGCAGCTCCAACTTTGCCCATTGGGTGTGCCCGGGCCCCGGCCCGCGCCCGTGCGCGTGCGAGCGGTCGCGCTCGCTCGTGCATGTGCGCTGCGCGAGTGCGTGTGCGTGTGCGGGTGTGCATGTGCGTACGTTTGTCTGAAGCTGAGGTTGCCAGGCTTTTTACATCAGACTCGCGTGCGCACACCTGTGTGGGAGTGTGTATGCGCAGGCGTATAAGAAGCTGTGTTAATCGTCGATCTTGCTGCGCCCCCACCCTGTGGATACGCCCAGTCCCCCGAAGGGCGTCGCCGGCTGGCGAAGCCTGTCAGTTACTTTCCTTCGAAAATCTTCAAACATCCCCACCGTGGCACTTCAAGGCATATCATGGTATATTAGTATATCCACCATGTCAGGGCATTTTTTGTCTGCAACATTGCAAGCCAGTCTGTCTATTGCGATCTGGCACTTGCGGTTGAGGTCCGGTAGAGCCCACTGCGATCTGGCACTCAGTTGCAGTCGTGGTGGCGAGGAGGCGGAGAATGAAGGAGGAGGATGAAGGAGAGGAGCTCTGATAAAATTTATATAACAACCCTCACCTGGCAGGTGGGGAACAAAGTCATACAAACAGCTTCCTTCTGAAATGTCTTCTTGAATTCAGGTTTCCACTCTTCTGCCTCACACAAAAAGGCTGGTTTCCAAAGTCGCCCTGACCGACGACCTTGAGCTGCTCGTAAAAAGATCAACGTCAGTGAACAATGACCGCTATTTGCAGGTTTGCCCTAAGCCCATTTGCATCCATTTGCAATCAAGCCACAGTGCGCGCCATGATCTGGGAAGCGTGTGGGAAAATCACAGGAGGGACTCACTGTAGGGAGCTTGAGACAAAGCCTCCAAGTCAGCAAACACAGACTTGGCTCCTCAACACGCTCCAGCGGACGCGTTAGCTTGCTGCATAATGGAAGGGGCCACTGGACTGGGCACACCACACTTGGGCAAAGCACGTTAGCCAGCATCAATGGCCTCAAAGAACTTCCAGTTGCTTCCAGTTGTTGCAGTCTTTGGCAAACCTGATCTTCAACATTCTTTAACCTCTCAGTAAACATGTTGCAGGTGTCCAAGATTCTGACAATGCCACCGGCACATACTCCCGCAGCACCTTCCAAGCTTGCGCTTGAATCCATGCAGCGCAATCAAAGCTTGCGGTTAGCACATACTGTAACTGCTTTTACAGTGAGTAGGCTTTTCGTTCAATCAACAGTGAGTGAGCCAGTAACGGGGCCAGCCAGCCACCTAATCTATTGATCTTGAATCAACCTGCTGCTCTTGCACCCAAATTCATCAAAACTTGCGCTTGACTAAGCTCACGAACGTCCATTTGGAAGAGAACATCTTCCCGCCCAACTCTGCAGGACCTGAGTCATTAGGCTGGTGTGAGTTTCATTGAAACGATGCTACTCTCACAGAATAACAGCAACCGCCGACAGGTGTAGTACTTAGTACAAGTACTTGCTCTCCTTATTAAGAGGTTATTGTTCAATTTGTTTTCTGCTCTGCTCATATGAGTGCTGAGCAGTAAACAAGTTGGCCCAGGGCCCAGGGTTTTGGCGTGCATGAATGAAACAAACCACTTATGCCGCTTACGTCACATGGAGCTCATAGCTCAGTTGCGCAGAATGGACATGAGGCAGGAACATATCGATCATCGTCGATGCTCAGCTGGGCTCACCGGACGCTGCAGCCCCCAGTTGCTCCAAGGTCTTTTGGGTCCGCAAATGGGACAAATGCGCAGAGCTGCGGAACCTGCAAAGCGAAGCTGCCAAAGCATTCAATCCAAAGAAAATGCGTCAAGTGCCGATTGAATTCTGTTATGCGTTTCTTGAACTGAGTCGCCCCGTTGCCGAAGCACTGAGCAATGACCAACATAAGAAGCGCACGCCATGAGTTCCAGCATGTGGGGAAGGCACGCCATTTCTCGGCTGTATCTGCTCCCTGGCAATGTGGAAGAATCGGCCCTTGGACCATGGGCTGGCTTATGTTCATCTGCACAGAAACGGCTTGCATCAAAGCACAGAACGGCTTGCTTCTTGATTCCTGATCTCACCCTAGCTTTTCCATCACCCCTTGTTCACAGCCTGTGTGGACAAACAGCCCCAAAGATGAGCAAAGGCCCTGCGGATCGAGGGCAGCACAAACACCAGGTCACCAGAACGTAGGGAGGAAAACAACATCTTTATATCGGCTTAGAATCAGGAATTGCTGCCCAACACTGGGGGCCCCTTACGACTCTCACAAGAAGTATTTGTTTTGGAGGGAAACACAACGCGTAAAAGGCAAGGTTGAAAAATGTCCACAAGTACAGACACCGTCACACGGCCAGAAAACTGTGCTGGCACGACGCATCGCATTTGACGCCTGACGATCCACCGCTATCACTTGAACTCCATTCTCCAGCCGCCCGAAGAGCTCAGCCGCGAGACTGGGGTGAGGTGGATCACCCAAGGTGGAGAGAGTCCAACCCCCACCTGTTTTGCTCCAAAGACTGGTTAAGTCCACAGCGGAGAAAAAGGTAAAACATCAGCAAATAATCTTGAGTTGTGAAATCATGGTTTATTACGGTAGGTATGATAAACACTAATGATGGCAGGTCGACATTCCGACTCCTTGCCCAAAGTCCAAAGTGAGGAGAATGCAACATGAGTTCAATTTAAAGCACATTATGATCATTATGATTGTTATTAGGTAGGAGCAAGGACGCTACTAGGGGCTCCTGGCCTTGCTACTAGGAGCAAATGCAAAACGACGAAGTCTCTCGTCAATGATCCAATTCATCCGATGATTTCCTTTGTGTTGTGAGGTGGAGAGTGGTCTCCAAAACAACGGCAGTGGCTACTGAACATGTCTGAGGAGCGGGCGGGTTCTGGAAATGCCTCCTTCAAAGCAAACAAACACAATGTTATTCGCGCCGCTACGCGGCTGGGTCCGTCCGCACCAGAGAGCTATCTGCTGAACCCAGCTACAGCCTTTCAACAACTATTCTGATGTTTTCTTTGCCTTCCTAGCTTGCCGTGGTATCAGCAGGGCAAATATATAGTATATAGTTGTACTGGTGTCCCACCTTCCCGGCTCTACCTGGCTAATACGTCCCCCTAGCCAGCTAGAGCCATACCATGAAGCTGCTGATGTTTGTTTATGCCGGTTCTACCTGGCTATGTTTCACCAAATCTTCAAAAAACAAACAAGTTTGTTTTTTCAAGAACGACTCAACACATTGTGTGTCCCAAACCTTTATCAAATGATGTTTTCGCACTCGATGTTCAACAACCTTCAAAAACTCCGGTTTCTTGCGCGATAGTGGCCCCCCAGCTAAAGCTGAAATCTTGCGATTGACTATGCCATCCAAATACACACGCCCCAGCACCTTCGGCACAGGCAGATTCTATGAGATCGTTAACCAATCAAAGCTTGGAGACACCCAAAGAGCATGAAAAGCAAGTGTATCGGGGGCCCCGGCTTCAGCAGCAGTGTCCTGAATGCATCAGTCAGTGTGTATGTGTTTGTGTGCGTGTCCCGCAGATTGCTTATTCAGAGACTCAGCCCAACCCTCGCCTCGATCGTCCCGATGGCTTCATCCAAGGGCACGGTCCGGTCTAAGAAAGCGAGGTGAAGGTTGAGCATGAAACCTCTTTAAGTTTGGCTGCCTCGTGAAATCAGTCATGCCGCAATGCCAGAATAGCAAGAAACAAACCCTCCAGGGTCAGACGTAGAAGAACATGAAAGCCTTGCTGGTCGCTGCTATGTTCCTTCGTCGCTGTGCACCTGCCACCTGGGTCACCTGCAGGGGCTCTGCTGGTCGTAATTGGGTGCATGGCCCCCAAGGACCAAATCCTCGAGAGCGACGGCTGCACAAAGTGTTGCCTTCGCCGCTCATACATGTGTTGGTTACCTTTGGTTCTAAGGTGCTGTAATCACGCTGTTTTTTGTATTTTTTGTTATATGCTGCAGGGTTCGAGCAAACCGGTTCATGCCCATGCCCTGGAGTCCTATTCCGTTGCGGATGCACTGTAGTCACAGTGAATCCATACACTTGAGACCCTTGTGTCAACTACTTCTGAGGTTGGGAGAAATCTGGAGAGGACAAGGTCTGAGCCCTCACCGTTGAGAAAACCACGCCCCAAACACACTGAGGAGATGACCGGCATGTCTTCCATCAATCTGCTCTGCGATTCTTCAACGATTGGCACCTAAACAAAAGATAACAAGAGTCCAAAGGGCCAAGGTGACAGCTACATTGATGCCACTCACTCTCCTTCTTCAACATCTTAAGCTTGTTCACCTTAACTACTATGTTCCTACTTGCCCCCCGCGGTACGAATGTACAAGTCATGACTGACAAGCTATATAGAGTCTTCTGGAAAAGCCTCTCGGACTGTGCCTTCACAAACTTTGGAGGCTCCAAAGCAGCAACGCCGCTCCTTGGCAATGCGCGGCCAAACATGCGAGTGCCTCTTGGGAAAAAATCCTTCCCTCCTCATTGCTCCCTTGTTTTGGAGCTCCTAATGATTGTGATGGAGATCAGGGATAAGGCTCTCTACTGCGTCCAAGGTTCTGCACCAAGCCTCTTTGCTGCAAGCAACCTGCTCCTCGGAAAGCATCTGGAGAACATGAATTGGTCAGAACAAACAAAGAACATTTACGTACTTCTGGCATAATGCTAAACGTTACAGGAAAAACCTTTGGTCGGATCATCGGATCATTGTTTGGATCATGGGAGCATGCTTTTTGCGATGACCGCAGACGCAACCGCGTCGCTCCTGCATATTGCGGACGTACAAACCGAAGAACCTGACAACTTTCAAAAAAGAGCTGGTAAAAAAACAATCTAATTGGAGGTCAGGATACTGCAGTATTCTATCACTTCCAATTCAGCAAGGAGGACACAGATTTCAGTGAAAATCACAGAGGTATCACACCTCTGGCGCAGCTCTGTGCAAGCACACAAACGCTGCAGATCTGCCTTTGAGACATTGCAACGGCGAAGAAAAGCCATGGCGTCAAATCAGGTTGGAATATGAATACGGGCTACAAGATGCCCAGGTCTGCAGTGCCATGCAAAGTCCCTATGTATTTTGGGTTCTCCGAGAAAGCTGAGCAAACCTTCACGAAAAGGCGATTGTGACATTTACCTGTCTCTGCAAAACATGTCAAATGAACACTCCAAAATACTCCAAAATGGTAGAGAAAGCTGTGAGCAATGCTCGCTGAGCATGTGCTTTCTTTTGTTGGGCAGAATTCTGAAAGTCAAAACCTGGCAACCTGAATCACTGAACTTGTTGGATTGATGAGCTCATGGCCTCATGGCATAATCACACTTGATCTTGTCAGCTGCAAGCATTGTTCAATAAGGGCTCAAAAGTGTTTTACCAGTGTCCAAAGAGCCTATGTAAATGGAACAAAATTGTATGTTATAACAAAACACCCGCATAACCGTTATAACTTATGTGTTAGTATCTCTATATTACATATATAATTATATATAATATACAATATATAATATCTACGAGTACACACATACAGTCACGTATAATCATGGACTAAAAACTGGAGGCAAAGTCCTATTGTTTGCGGCGAGGCATTTGCTGGGCCTTTTGGCCCAAAGGGCTGAGCAGCTGCCGCAGCTCACGCCCGAGGAGTGGAACTTTTGCGAGTTTGTTTCCATGTCGACACAATTATGCGAGTCTTTGGAAGGCCTGCAGTTTGTTTGCAGGAACCAACGGCTTTTTCAAGAGGCACTACGCGGAAGGTCGAGCAAAGACAATGAATGCCAACATTGCATAGCTTGAACTGAAGCGGGGTCAGTTGTGACCTTTCAAGGTCACGAAGTCATCTCTCACATTGAGGATGATTCTGAGTTTGAACGACGGCTTGATACAAACCAAATTGCGTCAGAAATTCTCTGTGAAATGATATGTCACATTCAGCCTTGGTTGCTTCGGCATGCTTCATGTCTTTACAGGACGTTCCCATGGCCTCAGCTTGTTTGTGATTCACAAGCGAATTTGCGTGTTCTGGCTCCAGCCGAAGCTGTATGCGAAATGCGAAGAGCCCAGCAAAAGGCCACAACCCACAAACCAAGGATATATAACAAAGGCAACAGTACAGTATAACATCAACATACATCCAATGTGAATGAAGTGATAAAACAATTGGGACAGTTGCTGTCAATGATGTAAGCTCCCTAAGTGGAGGGGCGCTCTTCCAAGGAGTCTTTGTTGATCCGAGGTGCCGCACACCGCCGACTGGGATACCGCTGAGCGATGTTCCTACACTTGCGCTTCTCACTTCGAACTCTGTCTCAATCCTGCAAAAAATCGCAGGTGTTGATGGACCCAAAACTACGTGGTAAATCTCAAAATGACAACTAACAAGAAGCGAAAATAACATACTTGGCTGTGAGTCAACCCGCCCAACCAAACAATGAAAGGTTGACACCCTAATTCACTAATAAAGAAATCGGTTCGTTTTCGGTGGTCAACCAGGATCCTCCCGAGTCCTGCAGAGCTTTTCTGGAGCTTTGCATCACCCCTGTCTCTTCAAAAGAACACCATGGGCAATAGTGCGAGCGAAATCCAGCGAGTCTAAAGAGGGCAAAGGGTGTATATGAATATGCAAAATGATCGAACAAACTTGAAAGTTGCAAACACGGGAACATGGAAGTAGTGTCAAAGTGTCAACAGGGACTAGATTAGATTCGATCATTTGTGCTGTGATCAGGGCGAGTTCACTTTTGGATCATACACTCCGTCAATGCTACCGATCCCTTAGGTGTGCTAAAATCCCGAGATCCAACTCCCATCATAAACCGCTCTTCAATTTTGGCTCGGAAGTTCAAATGTCTTCCGCAGGTCCAAACAGTTCCCGATGGGCCCACCATTGAGATTGCAGTCTTCGCAATTTGATGGAGAATTGCAGTCTTCGCACTTTCTGCAGTTTTTTTAAATACAGTGAGACTCAGACCGCAAGATCCATGATGGATCCATCCTACAAGGTCACAAGGTCATGCTTATCGCCTCCGTTCTTGGGCAGCCGCCGCGATGTAAAATTTTCCACAAAATGACAAGAGCATTGCAAAGCGTTAGGGTGGAAAGTCTTGATGCTCACAATGATACAAGGCCTCACATACCAGAGACGGGACTCATGTTGAAAACTGCTCATGAATCCTTGTCAGCAGCACTGGTTCAAAATCAAGGCTGTGCTTGCATCAGCCTTTGTCCCACTCCAAGCACATTGTGCGAACATGTGAAAGCACTTGTCGGGTACCATGTGCTCTCTCAAATGAGCACACCGATTTTGGGTGCTCTTGCCGCCGCCTAACTGGTCCTCAGATTCCTCAGTTAGCTTCTTGTATGAACGTGCTTCGGCCACCGCGGCACAGAACTCACACAGAAAGTGAAACTGTCCTACCTCTGGGGGCTAGTAGTGACGGCCTCCAACCTAATAGCAATGGCCTCCAACCTAGTAGCAATTAGCTCCTACCTCTGAGGGCTACTACTAGCTACTAGCCCTGCTTCCCAGTTGCCATCGACTAGGCTCCAAAGCCCGTGTCAATCGTCTGCTCTCTGAAGTTGCCGTACAGGACGTACACACCGGGATTCTTCCGCTTGGCTTTTTGGATCATGGGGCAAATTTCACCACCTGATACCAGGAATCAAGGGTGTGCCTTTTCTGTATGCGGAATACAATATATGTGGTTTCTGGTGTCATCTCAGTCATCTCCAGAAATCAACAACACGCAAAGGTCACTGCGAAACCTGACAGGACACACAAGGACTGACATGGCCAAGTATTGTTTGGCTACAGGTGACGATGGACTCACGCTCTCCAGTGTCTAAGAATGTGGCACACTTCGTTGCACACATACGACGTTTCATCTGCAAGCACCTCCGGTCCTGAAAATAGCAAAATGTGATGACTCAGTTTAACAATATCTCATTGACAAATCAGCAAGACCAAGTCAATCATGTAGATCTGAACTTCAAAATGAGAGTGGCTTCAAAGTGTGCTTCCTTGGCCAAGTCTCTACTATTGAAGGGAGGGTACAACTGATCCGAGCGGGCGGCATAGGCGCATTGTGTGGTGTGGTTGTTGACATCCACGAGCAACATCTGAAGATTCCCCCTTAGCAGTGCATCTATCATCAGCTCTGCCAGTAACCTGGACCTCTGGCACAAGAATTTTTTGCTCTAAATGCATCCATAGTCACTCGGAGGTTTGGAAAAGATTCTTGTCAAATGATGTGATCCCGTTGTTGAAGAGGTACACCAACTGCCGGCACAAGGGGCATCCCCTCCCTGTGCTGTCACAGCAAATCCGGAAATATGTCAGCCTGCTTTTAGGCTGTATGTCAAAAGAAATCACAACAAGCGATAACGCTCTATTCCAAAACAACACCTCAAAGGGCCCTTCGGACCCAACAAGGTTTTTCATGCAAACCTTACTACTAAGAACAAGGACGCTACTAGGGGCTCCTGGCATCGCTACTAAGAGCAAGGACGCTACTAGGGGCTCCTGGCATCGCTACTAGGAGCAAGGAAACTTCTATACTCTAACTTGGGTCTGTGTGCTGGACGCTGCCCAATGGAAGTGCAGCAAGCTAAATAATTTGCCCTGCTGCTAATCTCTGACAAGAAGTGCAAACTTTGAGAGCA